TAACTCTAAGTTCTAGTGTTCTACTATCTATCTTTTAGTATTCGGTTTTCAATGCTCGGTTAATCGTTTTTAGTTTTGTATTCAATTTCAAAAAAAGAAAAAAAACCCAAAAAAAAAAATACCGCATCTCTCATTTTTTTTATATCATCATATTCTATATTAATTTTCTCCAATTTATTATTTATTTTTTAAATTAAAAAATGTCGAGCTCTCGTGGTGGTCGTGGTTCGAATTCCGGACAGAAACGTAGAAATATCGGCACCGGCACGTCTTCGTCGAGACATCCATTGCCGGAATTTGCGAGTCCATCGCTACATGTGGATATTCCCGGTGTTGCCGATGACATTGATGAAGCTACGATCGACCGCATGTTTGGCTCAATTCATCCTGAGCAACAAGAGCAGCAGCAGCCGTATCACGACCATTTCGATGATATATTTGGAGCGTCCCGTCGGAGGTTCAGCAACCGACACAGCAGCAGCAGCCGGACGGCCCGGACCCGGACCCGGCCTCTATCTTTGCCCGTGGCAGACCGGGATCTGCCATGTTCAAACAACATTACACGAAGGAGGCCAATCCGAAAATAGGTGAGAATCATTTTTTTGCTGTTTGCAACTACTGCCCGATCAACGACAAGAAGAGGTACCATTTCAAAAAAGGCGACGAGTACGGATCGTTGAAACGACACTTACAGAATTGTCATCCGACAAAATTCGGAATTGACACGGCACAAACGCAATTCCTGAGTAGTAGCGCTGCATCTGCCACGACTGGTACAGGTACGCCATCTTTATTTCACTACTCACATGAAAATCATAGACGCCATTTAGCTGAATTTGTTTCTGCTTCATCTCTTCCGTTTAGTTTTGGTGATAGTGATTTATATGAACATTTTGCTCAAATGACTTTGAATCCGGCTGCCCACCGGGTTCCACGTACTACTCTTACTCGCGATATTCGAAAAATAGTGGCGGAAAAAAAAAAAAATTTACAAGAAACTTTTGAATTTTTAATTCATAGAGTATCCATTTGTGCTGATATCTGGTCTGATCATTGGCAAAATAACTTCTATTTGGGAATTACTTGTCATTGGATAGACGAAAATTGGAGTTTACAAAAATGTTTAATTGCTCATGTTGCATTTCATGAACGACACACTGCTTCTAATATTGCTCGTTTAATTTCAAAAATTTTGGATAAATATCAAATAGGTAAAAAAGTGTTTTCCATTTCGTTTGATAATGCTACTGCAAATACTGCATCTATACGTGAACTTACCGATATTTGCACTCCAATTTGCGGCGGAAGATTTTTTCATGTTTGTTGTATATGTCTTAAATCTCTGTGTACAAGATGGTTATCATGCTTTTAAAGATTCGGTCACGCCAATTAGGGACGCTGTTAATTATTTACATAAACGTCCCCATGAAATGAAAGCATGGGGACGATTTTGTAAAGATCAAGGGGTGAAACCTAAAAATTTCAACCCGACGTTCCTAACCGGTGGAACTCAACATTTAAAATGTTGAGTGACATGGTTCCGTTTATGACACAACTGCAGAATTTTTTTAACCATGTAAACCGTAAGAACTGTGATGTCCGAGTGTCAACAAGAGATTGGGAGAACTGTAATGCACTTATTCAATTTTTAGAAACATTTCAAAATGCTACTAACATGCTTTCAGGTGTTTATTATTCTACTGCTCAGCTTGTGTTAAGTCAAGCTATAGCCATAATGTGGGCTTTCAAGGATCTTTACGAGTTGAATTTTAATAAATATCGCTATTTAGTTGAAGAAATGTTAAAGAAATGGTTAAAATATTATTATTTCATTCCTGATACACATTTAGTTGCATGTTTGTTAGATCCTTCGGTACGTGAAGCTCGCTTGGTAGAGCAGCTTAACATGTACTATAATTATATGTATGAACTGCCAATCCCGACTGATGTCCCGACATACAGTCAAAAACCTAACGTACTGCTGCTCGTCGAGCGAGTAAAAAGTTTGTTGTATGACATCTTTAGGGAAACAACGATCGCACAAGGAGAACCTTCCAGCACATTTGTTCGTGGCGGCGGGGGCAGCGGCAGGGGGTCTTCTTCTTACGGCGGTAGTCAAGTAGGCGCTTTTAACTATAAGGAGTGGTGGGTATTATTAAATCCCTACAAGAATGCTGGCGTTGAAAGGGCAAAGGGAACTGGATACTATGAGCTTGATCACTACCTAACGCCGAATTTGATACTTACGATTGCTCGTGAACCAAGTCCGCCACTCAATTTCGATGTCTTGGACTGGTGGTCGAGAATGCAAGGCATATATCCTATTCCTTGGTTGATGGCCAAATAGATTTTCGCCGTCCCAGCATCTACAGTTGCGGTCGAACAAGCCTTTTGTAGTGCCGCGTTCGATTTATAGAATTCCTCGGGATATTCTATTTATTGAATATTATTTATAAGGTTATATTTATTTTATTAGTCGCTTTGTCGACTTAAATAAAGGTTGGAGTACTCGATCGTTTTATTGGAAAACATTCATCGTACGACGATTTCAGTTTAGTTATGTGAACCGAATATAACCCGTTTGAATAATTGATTTTTTCCGGATATGTTGGCATTATTATTTATTTTATTAAACTGCCAAAGTAAAATAATTACTTGATGTATTTATTAATGTGTGCAAATAAATATATATTATGTCGGTTTCGGAAATTTAAAGATTTACGAGTCGTCATATTTTATTCTTCCGAGCATTGTGTATATTCAGAGTTTATGAAATTGAGCCCGATAAACCAGTAGTCGAAACCAGCTAATTCGTAAACCCGTTGTTTACGAATTAATGGGGATTATTTATTGTTATTGTTATTATGATTATTATTATTATTATTATTGTTATTATTATTGAATGACTAAATATTATTGTTTGTCTAGATGTAATTAATTACCTAATTGTATATTTTAATTATTAATATTATTATTTTAAAATAATGTGTAAAATATTATCCAAGTTGTATTTATTTTAATCGTGTGATTAAATCGAGCCCGAGAGCCGAATTATTTTGGCGAAACCCACGTGCAAACCGGCCCAACCGAACCGGCCTGGCTGACCCCAAGCCCGAGATCCCTTCTCTATTTCACACGTGAGAGTGTGTGTGTGTGTGATTTCTTAGGAATCAAGAATAGTCAAACCTAGTTTTGTACATATATATATATATATATATATATACAATTCCTATATCTATCGCCTTCCCCCATCAGACCCTTACGCCCCGCAGCTTTGAGACTTTTCAGTTCTCTCGATCACGCTTCGATCTCACCTCTCACGCTCGAATTTTCTTGTATTTCTCTCAAACCCGATCACTATTATCCCCTCTCGCTCATCCTCTCGCCCTCTCATCACCTTCAGGCCGCCATCACCATCTGAGGCCATCATCGCATGCAACTCCTCAGATTTTTCGGCAAAACCCTCCGCGACGAGCACCCCGCCTGCAACTTTCGACGACCATCTGTTGCCCTTCTCCACGAACCAGCGAGTTCCTATGCTTGCGAACAGCAACCCCGCGACGACCTCCGCCTGCAGATCCTCTCGCCATCTCCACACCGTGAAAAGCTTCTCCCC